CGATACCTGTGGTGATGTGTGAGTGCCCTGCCTGCCGCCTCCAGGCCCAAAAGGACGTTGACTACGACGTGTGGTGTACTGTCCCTTCGTGCCACCAGAGTGACACTGTCGCTGTCCTCCTCCGCTCTCTCGGCCGGCAGCTCCACCCAGTTCCATCTGCTCGGGATCCGAGTCGTCCGGGGTGGAAACGGGCAGACCCCTACCAGGACGTCCTCTGGCTGCCAGCAGGTTGTCCAAATGATTGGCCATGTCCACCAGTTTGTTAAAGGACAACATGGTGTCCCGGAAGGCTAGCTCCCGTCGGACGTCCTCCCACAGATGGCACCGGAAATGGTCAATCAGGGCCAGCTCGTTCCACCCGGACCCCGCTGCCAGCGTACGAAACTCCAATGCGAAGTCCTGCGTGGTCCTCGTCCCCTGCCTCAGATGGACCAGCTGCTCGCCCGCCGTGATCGAAGACCGCCCGAAAGAGGTGAGTAAACTCCCCATAGTCCTCCAACGCGGCTCCTCCTTCTTTCCACACTGCGTTGGCCCACTCCAGGGCTTTCCCACAGAGGCAGGAAACGTGGACGGACACCTTCTCCCGCTCCGATGGCGCCGGCCTGATGCTGGAGAAGTACAACTCCATTTGGAGGAGGAATCCCTGGCACAGGGCCGCCGTCCCATCAAACGCCCATGGTCGGGATATCTGGATCCCTCCGGGTGCTGGGGTGTAGGTGGCTTGATCCGGTTGGCCAGATTGGGTCCTCTCCTCTCCAAGTGTTGGACGGCCTGAAGAACCCGATCCATCGCTTCCCCCAAGCTGGCCAGCATCGTGGAATGCTCCTGGACCCTTGCCACGACTCCAGGCATGCGCTCTTCTCCCGCTGACTCCATAGCGGGTGGGTGATTCTGTGATGAGTGTGATGGAAAGGAGTCAGGCGCAGGAGGGTAATCACCGAATACAGAGTTTATTCCTTCGTTGACACACAAATGCGCTCAAATAGCGATCAACGAAACAGGCACAGGGGAAACTATCATCCCTGGCAAATACACTGTAACGGATATCCAATAATACATAACCTACCCTGGCAACACAATGTTACGAGTAGCTCCACCGAGCTCCACTACTCTCACAAATAACAATCACCCACAAGGACAAGGGGGCAGAGGGAACACTTATACACAGACTAATTAGGGGATAGGAACCAGGTGTGTGTGATTGACAAGACAAGACAATTGTTGATTGGGGCGGCAGTGGTTAGTAAGCCGGTGACGACGAATGCCGAAGCCTGCTCAAACAAGGAGGGGAGGCAGCCTCGGCCGAAGTCGTGACACGGAGGTTCACCTTCTAGCAGGACAATGACCTTAAGCATACTGCTAAAGCAACACTTGAGTGGTTAAATGGAAACATTTAAATTTATTGGAATGGCCTAGTCAAAGCCCAGACCTCAATCCAATTGAGAATTTGTGGTATGACTTAAAGATTGTTGTACACCAGCGGAACCCATCCAACTTGAAGGAGCTGGAGCAGTTTTGCCTTGAAGAATGGGCAAAAATCCCAGTGGCTAGATGTGCCAAGCTTATATAGACATACCCCAAGAGACTTGCAGCTGTAATTGCTGCAAAAGGTGGCTCTACAAAGTATTGAGTTTGGTGGGGTGAATATTTGTGCGCGCTCAAGTCTTCTGTTTTTTTGTCTTATTTCTTGTTTGTTTCACAAGAAAAAATATTTAGCATCTTCAAAGTGGTAGGCATGTTGTGTAAATCAAATGATTCAAACCCCAAAAAAATAAATTTTACCTCCAGGTTGTAAGGCAACAAAATAGGAAAAATGCCAAGTGGGGTGAATACCTTCGCAAGCCACTGTATATGTCAGTATTTGTTTTCTACATTTTATACAGTGTTTTTGCTACATCTTTATCAAGGGTGCCAAAAAATATTGGACCTGACTGTATGTGAAGAGGCTGGGTTAGCATGTCAAGTATGAATTAAGAGGTCACATTAGTCGTAAGCACAGTACAATTTACCGTGTTCAAAAGGTAACACACAAATCAGATGTCTTGCAGATGCTGTCTTTGAGCTCAAAGTAAATTTTTATATTGCACTTATACAGGTGTGTAGGAGGAGGAAAATGTTGAATAGACTCCCACACACCTTTGCGGTGGTCAGACAATGAATATCGTTGTTGTAAATCATATCACTAAGGATACTACATTTTCAGTTTTCAGCTGTAAAGAATCATTTGCCTTTGACATGGACTCATCCAATGGTAATGCTCTAGGGTGTCTGTTGAGTGTGAGCTTCTGTTGAAAGTGGTCAAACTGAAAATCAAAATGTTCTACCCATAGCATTATTGCAGTAAGGTCTCATCTGTCAAATCCTCATTATGGATGGCTTTTTAAACATGCTTTTTTGTCATCTCTGCCTTATGTGATCTTCCTACCTTGTTCATCAATAGTTTTCCTGGGAGATCTACTTGGGGCATTTTGTCCCCTGACAGGCCACATGTTTCAATTAACGCCTGACTATGAGCAGACTGCAGCCTGGGAGCATCTCAGGTCTCCCACCCTATCACATGGCTCTGCCTGTCTGCTGGGGGATTCTTATTCACACTCTCTCTGTTGCTCTGGCACACACCATTAGGCAAACCAAGACTGAAGACCAGCAAATAGATTCAATTAAATGTTCATTAAACAAGAGGTTTCATTAAAGTAAGATTAGACAGAAGGGTAAAGAGTGGGGTGAAGGTATGCATTTATACAAGGATAAATTACTTTGTCCATTTTCCCTCTTTGCCCCCATGTCCCTTTTCAAAGAGCAGGTCCCCTCTGCTCTCTGGTGATGGCTGTGTTGTTAAGTAGCAGTCATGAGAGCACACCCAGTTTGGCACTGCTTTGCACTTCAGAGAGATCCTGCTGTTAAATTATTCATTTTCCAAACAGTAATTACTGTAGCAGAGGAGCCTGGATGCTGAAATACATGATTAGTGAGAGCGCATGCGCACCACGGAACCCAACCCCCGTCGGCCTTAACATCTTTCCCATCTCCATCTCTCCCATCCCCCTGTTGTGACGGTAGTAGTACCTCACCCAGGTGCTCCTGGGCCTCCCTCTCCTGTAGTAGTATTACTACTACCGTCACAACATGATTGTTCACTGACTCTATTTACCGGAAGAACATGCCAGAAGTGTCAGTGGAAAATGTCCCAAATGGGGCCCTCTACAATGAGGTAGGAGTAGAGAATATTCACAAAATCAGTTGTCTAAGCTGCATTCTGACTTCCTCATGTTTTCTGCTGTCTAACTGTTGGTCTTCATTGCGAGAAGCAATTCCAGTTATGTATAAAACAAAGACAGACAGAAAAACCAAGTGCCTCTATTCACGCCGTTTGGCATTTCATTTCAACATTAATATTGTGTCACGCCCTGACTCAGGGGACTCTTATATGTTGAGTCAGGGTGTGTTTATTCTTTGTTTGTATATATTCTATGTTGTATATCTAGCATGTGTGGATCTATGTTGGCCGGTGTGGTTGTCGCTCGTTGTCTCTGATTGGGGACCATACTTAAGCAGCCTATTGGCACAGTCTAGTTGTGGGATCTTGTTCAGGTTAAGGTATGTTGTGTGTTCTACCTTGGACTTCACGTTTCGTTTCCTTTGTTGTTTTGTCGTGTGTTTAATAGTTATAATAAACATGTACGCATATCACGCTGTGCCTTGGTCTGACCCGTCCTTCAACGAATGTGACATATTGACATGTGTTAAATTCTGTGATTGACCTTGAGATGTGTGTTTGGGGCTTTTACATTTTTTTTATGTCACCCTGTGTAGGAGTAATCATTGGTCCTGTCCTGCTGTCATTAATTGAGATCTCCACGTGGCTGCTGGTGGGGCCCCATCCTCCTCATCAGAGGTCACCTGTTGACTACCTGCTGACTGCACAGTGCTGGGTGATGATGTGATTTCACTGAGGGAGGGGACTGATTCTAAACCTGGCTCCAGCACTCCAGATGGATCTGGCTCCGGCCCTGTGTTGTGTTCCCATCAGCAGCCCAGTGTGCAGCTCAGACACACTCTGATTGGAGCACTCCCTACTGGCTGGCAATTACACCAAACACAGCTCATAAGTTTTGATATTTTATCACCCTGCTGTAACCTCGTTGCTGTTTGTTTGGCTGTCAACTGGTTTGGCGCAGGGCTCGGCATCCGTCATGTGTCCATGGCCTGTTGGAGACTGGTCACTGCAGGTGTGAAGAGAGCGTCTTCGTGGAGAAAGGTGCCGAGGACAAGCTCTAAGGCCTCTCTCTTCTTCCTGACACAGAAATTCACTCTTGAGATCATAAAATTACCCGTCTGTCTTTGTGTGGTAAACTTATAATATAAATGTTTATTTAGTAACATCTGAATGGACAATTTACATACTAGGTCTTAGTTTCATGGTACATTTTATGTTTTCAATATGTTAGTATCTCACAAAGTAATCAACCAAAGAGCAATATTACGCACAAAAAGAAATAACCATGCACTGTACCCAAATAACAGAGATCAATTAATTGTAACAATGTGTTATTAAACAAGACATAAACAAGACTATACATTTAACTCCCAACTGAAACTATAACACTTTTTAGATTTATGTAGTTTTTTAAACAAATAGTACTAATGAATGGCCACTGGACATGCAGTTGACTAAACATGGTCCCCCAAGCAAGAATGTCATGGAGGCACAAACTCTGAGTAGAGAACATATACTGTAGGGCTGGTTTCCCAAGATATGGTTTAAGCCTGGTCCTGGATCAGAAAGCACCTTCAAATGGAGATTCTCTATTGAGCATGCTTTTTAGTCCAGCACTAAGCACTTTTTGTGTATGGGTGGTCCTCTGTAGCTCAGCTGGTAGAGCACGGCGCTTGTAACGCCAAGGTAGTGGGTTCGATCCCCGGGACCACCCATACACAAAAAAAATGTATGCACGCATGACTGTAAGTCGCTTTGGATAAAAGCGTCTGCTAAATGGCATATTATTATTATTATTATTATTAAGCTTAATCTATGTCGGAGAAACCAAGTGTAACATCTACCATTACTAGCATACGTCTCTCTCCTCCTCTCTTGATGCTGGGGCTCTCTGCTGTTCCTCTCCTTCACCACCCTGTGTTCTCCTCATGGTGAGGGAGGAGTCTTCAGAGAGTTGGTGGAACCGCCCTGGCTTCCACCTGCAGTCCCCTGACCCACCCACTAGAGAACACACAGAGAGAAAACACAGTTAGAGAGATGAACATAGCCCGGTTATATGAGGTATGGGAATACAATTTGACAGTTGAATTGCACAAAGAGGGAACGAGTCGGAGGTGAAATCTAATTTTGGCAAATAGAGACTGTGAGACTGAAGTCACATCATGCACTCTGAAGTTTTAATTCCTTTTACAAAACAAATGGCCTCGGTGTGTGTGTAGACCCCCTGTGGGTTCTGTCGTGCCTCTGTCCGAAAATCAATTGTCACCGCGCCGTGTCTCCGAAATTCCTCCTCCGTTTAGTAAAAAACGTACTCTAAATAAATTGTCCTTCTTTCAGAGAAACACAAAATCAGTTAGTGTAGCAAATAGCAAAAAAAATTCATTTTTGCCCTTTTTTATTTTCCTCCTAGCTGGCATTTAACAGCCTAAAAAAGCAGCCCAGGGGAAGAGAGAGAGCGAGAGAGAGATGTAAGCACAGTTTAAATGGCTGGTTTAGCGGCTCTGTGTGTAGAGGGAGCACAACCTTGGCTCAAGTGGCCTGAGATGTGAATTATTGATGAGAACTGTCTGTAGCCTTGGGGGTCAGCGAGTCTTGCACTAAGATTTCAAAACACCAATGCATGAAAAGCAAGCGAAAATAATGAAAAGTCAAGTGTGTGTGTGTGGCCGTAATAATAATAATAATTAGGTGGGTGCTTATATTTGTCCTAGTGTGTGTGTGTGTGTGCTCAAAGAGCATCTTTCCATTCTTGAAGTAACACAAATAAGACATTATCCCGAGCTTGAGCCCTCTGCTATGTCTTCTTCAGCTTAATAGGAGGAACAGGGTTGTATTCATTAGACAAAGACCGTGGCAAACAGTTTCAAAACATTTTGCAACGGAAACCGTTTACTCCAAAAAAGTTTATATTGGACAAATTCAGGAAGGTCCCTCCCCATATCATTCCATTTGCTTCTGTTTGCCTTTGGTTGGCTCTGTTTGGTTCCTAGTGAATACACCCCAGGGCTTCTGACTATGAAGCTACAATGATAGCCAGTGACAAGCACATCAGTTATATCACTGTGTAGGCAACATTACTGTTCCAATTTCTGCTTTTAACCTCTCAGATGAATATGAATACATCTATTTCTGGTCTCCATTAATGAGGGTGGAGGAGTAGTGTTTTTAAATAGCAATGAAGCCGCCTTCTCTCCTCCTCTCCCACTACAAGAATGGATTGTTCTGATGATGGCACAAAAACAAGACAAGTATACATTTGTTTTATGCAATCATGCTTGTGTTTTATTGTCCCTATACAAGCTAGAGAAGGAGAGCTCTACCGTTTGTTGTTTACCTACACCTTGCTGTCTACTTACACTTGAGATGTGTGGTCATGATGTCAAGGATAAAGCTTTGATAGGCTTTCTTCTTTCATCACTTTACGTGTTGACTCACATAGAAAGACGGAGGGACGGACAGACGGATGGATGAATGGATGGATGGATTGGCACACATACACACACACATACACACACACACACACACACACCTCTACCAGGGTGTGCCAGTGGGCGATGGGCTTGCGGGGGTACGACAGCATCTCGTTCCAGTGGTCTCGGCCCAGGCTCTCCGCCTCATTGCCCACCCTACACACTCCAATGACTTCGTTGTGACCTACACTGTGAGAGGGGGGCACACATATACGGTCACTTTAAAACCTTTTGTTGCCATATATGCCCTCCCATTCATGTTTTTGATTTAAAACCACGTTGATTTGTGCACCTCTACACGTTTTCACTTAAATAGGTAGTTAGCTTGTCTTACAGATTTAAAAGGCCTGTAGTTGCACGTATCCTAGTGCATTTTCTGTCCAACATCATGTTCTTTGGTGTAATAATTATAGTGATGTTCGGCAGATTACATTTAACTCCTCAAATATTTACTCTGAACAGCATCAGGAGGAATATAGTGTGTACTCTGTACTCTGTGCTTGTTCGTCAGCATTTTAGTTTTGTAATGTTGTTTCCTCCTCTCTTGAGTTGGGCTAACAGAATGCCAGCTGCTTTCCAGGCCAATTATCAACTAAAACATGTTACACTTAGGGAGTCTCAGCTATGTGTTTGTATACAGCAAAGATACTGTCTACCCAAAAGCGTGGTTTCTGAGTCCTTTTCAGTGCATCATAGTCACCACAAACTTGTAGGCTATTTGCAGAATAAAAAACATAAACTGCTGTCATAATGATAGGAAGTTCAGTTCATAAAAGCTTCGCAAAATAAAATGTATTCACCGATCGTAGTCCATCACTGCTATTAGGAGATTGATCTGATCAATGTTCTCAGGAGGGACATCAAATACTATGGCTTCGTTGTAGACTGGATTCAGAGTGTTTCTCTTTGTGGATGTTTTCCTCTTCTTCAATCTCCGTCCCTCACACATTAAAGACACCTTCACATAGGGATCTAGAGAGAGTTGGGACACAGTGGCGGAAAGGGTAAACCCACGGAGTAACACATGGGATGCATCCACATAGGCCGCTGGTCAAAAGTAGTGCACTAAATAGGGAATAGAGTGCCATTTGGGATGCACACATGGCCTCCTCATTGATATGTTTTGTCATGGCTTCTGCTCATTGGGCCATATTATTAAAAGACTGGGAAACAGAAATGACTATTCCATTTGATATACTACTCTGTCATATCATTTATCCATCCAGTGTTGACTAAGCAGAATCCACATGACATTTGTACCCCAGTCCCCACATTAAGGACCCCCTACCTGAGGCTCCAGTGATGTCCATGGCTTTGAGGTTCCTAGCCTTGATCATTGTGATGGTCAGCCTTCCAGCCGTTGGTAGGTAACACAGGGAGAACATGAGATCCCCCAAGTCCACATTGTCCTACAAAGCAATGAAAACTTCAGTGAAATGTTTTGTAACTGAATGTCTCATGATGTCACCATATAGCTCTGGCTTCGCTGTTTAGAGATTCCGCTGGTTCACAGTGAACTGTGTGAGCAGTCGGGGTCTCAAATTATTGTTGAGAGTTAGAATAATAGAATACACAAGGTGCAATTTCGAAGCTTGGTTGTGCATCAGCAGTTTTCCTCTTGTTATATGTCACTCACTGACAATCACTCAATTAAACCATGTCAGTCAGTCTACTTAGTCTAGCCAGCTATCTAAACTTGCTGAATTACCGACCGGGCACGCAGAGCACGTGCCCAGGGGCCCTGACCTCCAGGGGGCTCTCATTGATTTTATTAGTTACTCTCACTCAGATATCATATTAACATGGAATAAGTCATGGCAAAATGTGTAGAATTTCAGAAAATTAGATTTTAAAACTGCAAACATTTCTCCCTACCCCATGTCAGAATGTGTAGAATTTGAGGAAATTAGCTGTAAAAGTGCAACAAAAACAATAACAGTTCTGTAAAACCAATGGATTTGTTTACCTTTTGTTCATAAAATATGTTTTCTGCTAACAGATCCCTCTGTACGTATTAAATTATAGTTTTTCATCCCGGTGCTGAGTTTATGTGAGTAAATGTGTAGCGGCTAATTGTATAGCTAATAGGCTATGTGTTTGTAGATTGACTGAGGTGAATGAAGCTACAGCAACCAATGTGATAATGGCTGGGGTAATTTTCGTTTGTTTTTGCTGGCTACGGCCCTGCGTGTGTCAGTGAACAGGAAGAGCAGCGCTCCAATTATCACCTCTGAAAATAGCGTGTCTGTGAGAGAGTGATGTGTTCGTTAGACCACAGCATCACTCACAAGGTTAGTTACCGGCAGGGAATATGGAGGCCACAAGTCTCACCTCCAGTTGAGGCATGTACCTCACGTTGTAATGTAACCCTGACAACCCTGTTACCCCTACAGGTATCTCTCTGCTTGAGATAGGAGCTGGAGACACCCAACATAGTTAAATAAGCAGCATCTCCAGGCTTGGCTGACACTAGCCTGACATCTGAATTAGTCTTTGTGTGTGTGTGTGTGCGCGTGTGTGTGTGTGTGTGTGTGTGTGTGTGCTCCTCAGCCCTGAGCTGTACGGGCCTGTTATAACAGATCATTCTTCCTGTGTGAAAGTTCCCATTGGCAGGCCCCTGGAATCAGTGGGAAGCCCCATTATTCTGCATCAGCAGGAAAGGTCAGTCCAGCTCTCCACAGAGAACCGCTCATTATCAGGTCTGGCTTGGTCACCTGCCTGGTCAGTGGTCAGTCCCAGTCTCACACAGACACAGCCTTCCCGAGAAGCTAGCTAGCTCACACCCTGCTGGAACTCTTTTGCCAGGGCTATCAGACCTTTCTGCCTGGCTGTCATGTCTCTGACAAGCACATTGTCAACAGTGGCAACAGGGTTTAGTTCCCCATATAGCAGTGGTGTACCGCAGTTGTCCCCCACCCCTCCTGTAATTCTATTTTTTTTTGCCATGGCTTATGACGTGTTCATATCCTGGGTTGTGGGCCCCACAGTGACTGTGTTCTCTATGGGATGGGTTTTACTAGGGGGATATGTTCAATGATGAAGTTAATGAATTTTACCACATATTGAAATGCAATCACAGCTACATTTGTGCTCACTGCTCACTCACAATGACCATGAACCTGAATTGGAAAATGTATTTCTGTATGAATAGAGCCCAAATAGACTCCAAAATTAATATCAAAGTTTAAGAATAACAACACATGCTGTCTGATGTGCTACATTGTTCTAATGTTCTGTATATTAAAAATGCTTGTTACTATAAATGGCTCAATTCAGATAGTTAGCTAATTACTTTGATGTTCCGTTTCAAAGCGTCTCTGTAAAACACCTCACATCATATCCAACAGAAATCAGTGGACATGGTTGCTAAGGACTTGAACTAATAATATGTGCTACTTGTTCTGTTATTCTTTGTGCATTATAATTAATTTAATGTCCTACAAGGAATGACTTTGGCGGTTGTTGTTGGCTATTAGTTTTTTAGACAACGACATTGATTGGGACATTGATTGGGAGTGTAATAGTGGAAAATGTAGAATTGGCACATCCATTCAAGCATCAATAAGTTCTCTATGTGGATGATTGAAATGACAGATCTAATGTGATCTACTGTATCCAAAACAAGATTGGGCTTTATCATTGCTCTCTGGCCTGTGTCCAAAATCACTATAAATGTAATCAAACAAAGGAGTTGATTTATCAAGGCTGTCAACATAGGGCAAGGCACCACAGTGACCTCTAACCTACAGCATCATCAGTCCGCACTTTGCTACACTGACCTGGTCACTCAGAAGGCGCGGCAGGAGGTATCCATCGTAAAGTGGTAGAAATCACGCATACACACACACGCATACACACACACAAGTACACTTTCAGCCTCTACTACACACACACACACACACACACACACAGGCTCAGCCTCCACACATACGAGCGAAAAGATTAGAGGTGGTACCATGCAGCCCATCCCTCTCAGGCTGAATAATCAAATTACCCACTTCCATCTGCAGACTATAGGATAACAGTCTCCTCCACTCATTGAAGCACTTAAATCAAGTCAGTGGTGGAATGATGGTCACTTGTGCTCTTTCAATTAAATTAAACTGGAGCTCTGAAGGCCCCCAATATGGCTGAGAGAGAATACTGACAGTCTATCTTGTGTAATTATCCATCTTGCACCTTCCCCCCTAGGATCTCTCTCTCTCTCTTGTAAGGGCCTCTTAACATACAGGGTGTGTTACTACCATCTTTGTAAAGAGAAACAGAGGGAGACAAAGTGGGAGGGCAATAGAGAGGGAGGTGAAAACGGCTTTGCAATAGCCGGCGCGTGTAAGACCATGTCTTGCCATGTCATCCTATTACATCAGCAGACAGTAAGTCAGCAGTTGTGACCCACTGTGGAACGACATGATTCAGCACTTTAGATGTGTTTCACTGGGCTGCTAAATGAACAGAATCAGGGTAAGCTAACACATTTCAATCACTCATAAATGTAGTACTCATGTTTAACTGGTTAGCAATAATGGACTTTGGAATGATTCGGTTGACATCTTTAAATAAAATATTCTCAAGAGTCAATGGACTAGGTGGACATTTGAACCAAAACTTGACAGCTCCTCTCTCAGCAGTTGGCCTATATTTAAGGCATATTGTTGTAAACCCATTTTATCTTTCTTCCTTTCTTCATCAGTCATTCCACGAGTTTTATATTCAGCCCATGTCTGTTTCCACCATGCAGGTCAATAAGACATAACGTAAGGACATGTGATGTGCTCATTATACTGCGGTGGTGGTTATTGAGGAGCCAGGTAGTAAACCTGCTGAATTGGATCAAGCCACACACTCATCCCATTAATCAAAGTCCAAATAATTTTTTTTACGTTTACATTTTAGTAGAAGCTCTTATCCAGAGCAACTTACAGGAGGAATTAGGGTTAAGTACCTTGCTCAAGGGCACATTGACAGATTTTTCACCTAGTCAGCTCAGGGATTTTAACCAGCAACCTTTCAGTTACTGGCCCAATGTTCTTAACCGCTAAGCTACCTGTCGCCCAAGTTGGCTAACATCAATACTATTGACTGGCGTTGCAGGGACACAGATTACAGTGCTCTTTGAAATCTTTGTTATAACAGCCTGACAATTAATGTGAACCTGAAGAGGCTATTGGTCTTCTATTGAGTTCTAGAATAGATTAGTTAAGCTGTGTCTAATTAAAGAAAGTATACCACAGTAACAGGTCATCCATCCATACAGGTCCTTTATCTCCCTGACAGGATATTTTATTTGACCCTTATTTTACCAGGTAAGTTATAGGGGAGAGGAATGAGCCAATTGGAAGATGAGGATGACTAGGTGGCCATGATGGTATGAGGGCCAGATTGGGAATTTAGCCAGGACACCGGGGTTAACACCCCTACTCTTACAATAAGTGTCATGGGATCTTTAGTGACCACAGAGAGCCAGGACACCCGTTTAACTTCCTATCCGAAAAAACGGCACAGGCTACTGTCCCCAATCACTGCCCTGGGGCATTGGGATCTTTTTTTTTAGATCAGAGGAAAGAATGATTCCTACTGGCCTTCCAACACCACTTCCAGCAGGATTTGGTCTCCCTTCCAGAGACCAACCAGGACCAACCCTGCTTAGCTTCAGTGGCAAGCCAGCAGTGGGATGCAGGGTGGTATGCTGCTGGCCAAAACCGCTAGTGATTCTGATCTGTTGTATAACAGTTTAATTCAACCCTCATGAAGATGGATTTGAGACCTGCTTGTGGAGGCTTGTAGAGATCAGGAAAAATATTTAGAGCTGGCCACTTGTATGGGTATTTGTATAGCTCTCTGTCCCTGGAAGGTGTCAGGTATTGTAGAGGTATGTTAAAAACATGTCATAAACATGCTACATTACTTGTAATTGATGTTATCGAAGAAGCAAGTGGTGGGTTACATTTTCTTGACCCCGTTACTCTTCATGTGGTCCTAGAGTTCATTTATGGAGATGTAGCACTTTAATATCAGATTTGATGCCATTTTACAGTTTGTATGTTACATATGGGATGTTTGAAACCCAACTTAGCCCATGCTGCATGGTGTCCCATGCTCTGGGTCCCAGGAGGGCTGGCCCAGTTCTGGGCTGGAGAGTGGCTGTGTGTGTGCGTGTTTTTGTGAGTGTGCATTTGCGTGTGTTTGCTTGTACTTCCTAGATGCTCCGGGTTGCATCCCCTGAGACTTTGTAACTCCCCAGTTAGCTCACCCATGTCACACAGGTAAATCTAGGACTGAGAGTTTGACAGCCTCTGAGAGTCGACATTATAAATCTGGCCTCCTGAATGAAGCTGTGAAAAGATCTGCTCTTTAGGTATTTGAGTCTATTTTGCAGTTACTAGCTGTTAATGGATTGATGGTTTTCAATCTTACATTGCGGCCAGTTCTAAACCCCTTCTCTCACATTATACCATTTAGCAATCCTTAACAAATAGTCCAGAAACGTGAAGCTGCACAGCTTTTTTTGCTCTATGGGTACTAAATATAGATCTATTTAATGTGCAACTTGCCCAGAGTAGATCTCATGACACAAAGTAGACTTATTCATTGTCTAAGCCTAATCAAACACTTTTGATTAACTCAAACCCTACACGGGTGGTAAATCACTTCTCCTGGCTTCCCATGTCCATGGGAAGTGAAAATGAACACTTGTAAAAAAAGAACATGGCCCTCAAGGGAGACAGTATATACAGTGAGGGAAAAAGTATTTGATCCCCTGCTGATTTTGTACGTTTGCCCACTGACAAAGACATGATCAGTCTATTATTTTAATGGTAGGTTTATTTGAACAGTGAGAGACAGAATAACAACAACAAAATCCAGAAAAATGCATGTCAAGAATGTTATAAATTGATTTGCATTTTAATGAGGGAAATGAGTATTTGACCCCTCTGCAAAACATGACTTAATACTTGGTGGCAAAACCCTTGTTGGCAATCACAGTGGTCAGACGTTTCTTGTAGTTGGCCACCAGGTTTGCACACATCTCAGGAGGGATTTTGTCCCACTCCTCTTTGCAGATCTTCTCCAAGTCATTAAGGTTTCGAGTCTGACGTTTGGCAACTCAAACCTTCAGCTCCCTCCACAGATTTTCTATGGGATTAAGGTCTGGAGACTGGCTAGGCCACTCCAGGACCTTAATGTGCTCTTCTTGAGCCACTCCTTTGTTGCATTGGCCGTGTGTTTTGGGTCATTGTCATGCTGGAATACCAATCCACGACCCATTTTCAATGCCCTGGCTGAGGGAAGGAGGTTCTCACCCAAGATTTGACGGTACATGGTCCATCGTCCCTTTGATGCGGTGAAGTTGTCCTGTCCCCTTAGCAGAAAAACACCCCCAAAGCATAATGTTTCCACCTCCATGTTTGACGGTGGGGATGGTGTTCTTGGGGTCATAGGCAGCATTCCTCCTCCTCCAAACACGGCGAGTTGAGTTGATGCCAAAGAGCTCTATTTTGGTCTCATCTGACCACAACACTTTCACCCAGTTCTCCTCTGAATCATTCAGATGTTCATTGGCAAACTTCAGACGGGCCTGTATATGTGTTTTCTTGAGCAGGGGGACCTTGCGGGCGCTGCAGGATTTCAGTCCTTCACGGCGTAGTGTGTTACCAATTGTTTTCTTGGTGACTATGGTCCCAGCTGCCTTGAGATCATTGACAAGATCCTCCTGTATAGTTCTGGGCTGATTCCTCACCGTTCTCATGATCATTGCAACTCCACGAGGTGAGATCTTGCATGGAGCCCCAGGCCGAGGGAGATTGACAGTTATTTTGTGTTTCTTCCATTTGTGAATAATCACACCAACTGTTGTCACCTTCTCACCAAGCTGCTTGGCGATGGTCTTGTAGCCCATTCCAGCCTTGTGTAGGTCTACAATCTTGTCCCTGACATCCTTGGAGAGCTCTTTGGTCTTGGCCATGGTGGAGAGTTTGGAATCTGATTGATTGATTGCTTCTGTGGACAGGTATATTTTATACAGGTAACAAACTGAGATTAGGAGCACTCCCTTTAAGTGTGCGCTCCTAATCTCAGCTCGTTACCTGTATAAAAGACACCTGGGAGCCAGAAATCTTTCTGATTGAAAGGGGGTCAAATACTTATTTCCCTCATTAAAATGCAAATAAATTTATTACATTTTTGACATGCGTTTTTCTGGATTTTGTTGTTGTTATTCTGTCTCTCACTGTTCAAATAAACCTACCATTAAAATAATAGACTGATCATGTCTTTGTCAGTGGGCAAACGTACAAAATCAGCAGGGGATCAAATACTTTTTTCCCTCACTGTAGATATATCATTGAGACATCACTGAGACTACAGTTCTCCATTGAGACTGCAGACAACCTACAATCGTTCAATGACACCATAGTCCTTATTTCTACAGTGAGACTCCAATAAGACTGACTCATATTGAGACCGCACATTGACCAATTGAGACTTCAGAGCCTTTCTGACATCAGTGAGAGTCCAGTGAGATTCAATCGGACAGGTGAAACCTTCAGTATGTCACACCTCTCCACAGTGATTCATGTGATCCATGTGGATAATGTAGAAAATTTGGATAATGTAGAAAATGTGGATAATATAGAGAGCTCCAGCTTTGTGTCCTCATGTCAAAGCAGCCTCTTTACTGCCAACTCAGATTTAGGTCACTACCCCATGTGTTTCCTGATGTGATCATGTATTATTCATCCCATCTAAGTATATTTTTATTTTAGTGTTCTTTTTTTAAACCAGCGTGGGTGGTTCTGCGGGGACAGACATACTTACACTTTGGTATTTTCCTCCCTGCCTTGTTGTTACATGGTCTTTACACATTTATTATTGTTTGGACAGTTTTTGATAGCCCTGAGGGGAGGGCGGAGCTGGTTCAGATATGATTCTAAGTGTTTAACCCTCTCCAGTTCCACTCCTAAACTGACATAGTTGAATGATCAGGGACCAGAACTGAAGTGACTTCCAACTAAACTCTCTCAGATAATGTCCCCTTATTCACTACCTCATTTGAAGTCACAATGGTGCATTTATTATTGCGTGTCCATGTACTCAAGCAGATATTACGATACTGTAGTGAGACAAATATAGAGGTTAGCTCACCGAGGTGACGTATTGAATGTCCCTACAGAGTTTAGTCTCTCTGGGGAAGTCTGCAAGGTCCAGGAAGTTATCCACCACCACCTGGCCAATGATGTCGTGACGGGAGAAGCGGTCAAAGTCGTAGACGCTGAAGTGCAGTTTGCGTGTGGGCAGCTCAGTGTAGGCCACGGGGAACAGGAAGACCTCATCGAACACGGGGTTGAGGGTCTTGCGGTGCACCTTGGTCTGGTGCTTGGTCTTGCGGTCGGGGAGCAGGTAGATCTTGACGTAAGGGTCAGAGGTCCCTGAGAAATCCTTGGCCGGTAGATCCTGGGCCTTGTGGATCTTGATGATGAGCTGCTCCAGGTCACAGTCGAACTTGAGGATGAAATGTATCCGGCCGCAGCTGTCATCCCTCCTGCCGTCGTCCGTGTCCACAGAGTGTTGCTTGTAGAGCTCGGGTTTGATCCGGCCCAGAGTGGCCAGGGACTCCTGTCTCTGGAACTGGCCCATGTTGAAGTCTGGGTTGGACAGGTTCATCTGGCGGCGGATGGAGTTGTGCCTACAGAGGGTAGAGAAACCAGTTATCATTAGCTATAGACACAATGCAACATGGTTAGTTGAATTGACTTGTTATTTTTTCTGTGTTGTGGGACTGACCGGACAGAGGAGGTGGGCTCAGTGATCTGGCGCTGCACGCGGGTGATGTGGCGGACATGGTTCTCCTTGGCCTTGGCCTGGGCCTCCAGGGGGATGTCTGGGGATGTGTGGCTGATCTTCATGATTGCCTCTGGGACTAACAGGCCTGAGGGCTCCTTGACACAGTCCTCACTGTACTCATTCTCCGCCCCATCCACCTCCATCAGGACTGGCTGCTGGTCTCCCTGGCCATCCTTCAGGCCGTCGGGGAGGCCACGATCGCGCCATGGCACCCAGCACAGCTTCCACAAGACGAAAAGTGAGACACCAAAAAGGGCTAGGCCACAGGTGGTCACCACCAGAGACAGCAGGCTCACCGACACATCTGGATAGACAGAACCAGGGAGAGAAACAAGTTAGCAGGGAACTGTAGGAAGATATATTTTGTATTAATAGCAATATATTATAATATGCTATCAACCTTTCTTTCAATCTCTCCCAATGTGCTGCTCAAATTGATATTGCACAAACATTCATATTAGTATGACAGACATGACAATTGTATCCATTAGCAAAGGAAGAGAAACTCATCAGATAGGTAGCAATGTTCTGTTCAGTCAACATTAACTCATCAGTAAGTGCTCTCATCTCAAATGTCCTCTCACAGACAGTAAAAGGGAAGTGTCTGGTGTCTGGGATAGCCTGGTGTGTTCCACCGGAATATGTTCTGTTTCTCAGAAAGAGCATCTCATCTGAATGAGCTCACTCTGTCTCCATGTCTCCTCTCCACTCCCCAGTCATTGTGAATCAGGCCAGACAGACACAGAGAGGGATTTTAGTGAATAAGCCCTTGTCAGAGTGGCCTGCCACTGCCATAGCGTCCCATCAGATCTACTGTCTACATTGTCTGTACCTGGGCCATGTGTCCTTGCGACCGTACATCCCTGTGATTATCTAGACCAGTGGAGGGAAATGGAGCCTTGAGTTATTCCTCCCACCAATCCATCTTGGTTGGGCTTTACCCATGAGAAGATGTGGGATCCACAGGCTCATTGGGCTGGCCCACATACTGCACTGCAAACCAGCTGGGTCTTCTGCACTAAGCCACAGAGATAGATGGCATGCCCAGACATTGTGGCACTTCATTTTAGTGGTGACAGTTTTTGAGGATTCACTCATCTAGTTATCTGTTATTTTGACAATCTTTGGTATATCTCAATGTGGCTGTTCTAAAAAGCAAAAATAATTTCAAGATAAAATATCAAAGACACTATATGAGTTTGGAAGCAGAATTTCTCAAAGCAACACTCGGACAAGTTTAATTAGCATTGGCTTAATTACTTTAATTATCAATATTGTATTATTCAACCACCCAGCAACCACCCAACATTGGCACGCCCACACACATCCACGCGCGCACACATTCAATGAATTATATATACGGCCATAAGCAAACAGGAAAAAGCTCATCCAGAGGCGGCGCTCCTAGTGGCTGGGGACTTTAATGCAGGGAAACGTAAATCCATTTTACCTAATTTCTACCAGCATGTTAAATGTGTAACAAGAGGGAAAAAAACTCTAGACCACCTTTACTCCACACAGAGTCGCGTACAAAGCTCTCTCTTGCCCTCCATTTGGCAAATCTGACCATAATTCTATTGTCGTATCGGGTGAATGGTGGCAATTATTGCTGATGAACAAAGGAGTCCGCTCATACTGAACTTGGATCATAAGGTTTATTCATATCACAAGCTTCAGCATAAGTGACAGGTGACATGCCCACCCGGAGAGCGACGCCTCAGAATGGCCGCTCTGCCTTCTCCTTCGTTTAGCCCCTACTTATAAACAATGCAAAAAGATGGGTGGCTCCCTGTTCTGGCCAATCACCAGTCTCCCCTGTCTACAACACACTTCCTGTCTGTTGTATGTGGCGTTACACTAAAACATTCCCTCTTGATACTAAAATCAACATTCTTTCAGTTCCACTTAACAACATTTAACAAAAGCATAATCCCAATACACGACACTATCCTCCTGATTCCTGCTTACAAGCAAAAACTAAAGCAGGAAGCACCAGTGACTCGGTCAATAAAAAAGTGGTCAGATGAAGCAGATGCTAAGCTACAGGACCGTTTTGTAGCACAGACTGGAATATGTTCCGGGATTCTTCCGATGGCATTGAGGAGTACACCACATCAGTCACTGGCTTCATCAATAAGTGCATTGATGACGTCGTCCCCACAGTGACTGTATGTACCCCCAACCAGAAGCCATGGATTACAGGCAACATCCGCACTGAGCTAAAAGGTAGAGCTGCCACTTTCAAGGAGCGGGACTCTAACCCGGAAGCTTATAAGAAATCACGCTATGCCCTCCGACGAACCATCAAACAGGCAAAGTGTCAATACAGGACTAAGATCGAATCGGATGTGGCAGGGCTTGCCAACTATTACAGACTACAAAGGGAAGCACAGCCGCGAGCTGCCCAGTGACACGAGCCTACCAGATGAGCTAAATTACTTCTATGCTCGCTTCGAGGCAAGTAACACTGAAATATGCATGAGAGCATCAGCTGTTCCGGACGACTGTGTGATCACGCTCTCCGTAGCCGATGTGAGTAAGACCTTTAAACAGGTCAACATTCACAAGGCCGCAGGGCCAGAAGGATTACCAGGACGTGTACTCTGAGCATGCGCTGACCAACTAGCAAGTGTCTTTGCTGACATTTTCAACCTCTCCCTGTTAGAGTCTGTAATACCAACATGTTTCAAGCAGACCACCATAGTGCCTGTGCCCAAGAACACTTAGGTAACCTGCCTAAATGACTACCGACCCGTAGTACTCACGTCTGTAGCCATGAAGTGCTTTGAAAGGCTGGTCATGGCTCACATCAACACTAATATCCCAGAAACCATAGCCCACTCCAATTTGCATACCGCCCCAACAGATCCACAGATGATGCAATCTCTATTGCGCTCCACACTGCCTTTTCACACCTTGACAAAAGGAACACCTATGTGAGAATGCTATTCATTGACTACAGCTTAGCGTTCAGCACCATAGTGCCCTCAAAGCTCATCACTAAGCTAAGGACCCTGGGACTAATCACCTCCCTCTGCAACTGGATCCTGGACTTCCTTACGGGCCGCCCCCAGGTGGTAAGGGTAGGGAACAACACATCCGCCACGCTGATCCTCAACATGGGGGCCCCTCAGGGGTGCGTGCTCAGTCCCCTCCTGTACTCCCTGTTCACTCATGACTGCATGGCCAGGCACAACTCCAACACCATCATTAAGTTTGCTGATGACACAACAGTGGTAGGCCTGATCACCGACAACGACGAGACAGCCTATAGGGAGGAGGTCAGAGACCTGGCCGTGTGGTGCCAGGACAACAACCTCTCCCTCAACGTGATCAAGACAAAGGAGATGATTGTGGACTACAGGAAAAAGAAGAGGACCGAGCACGCCCCCATTCTCATCGACGGGGCTGAAGTGGAGCAGGTTGAGAGCTTCAACATCCTTGTTGTTCAGATTACCAACAAACTAACATGTTCCAAGCATATCAAGAAAGTCTTGAAGAGGGCATGACAAAACCTATTCCCCCTAAGGAGACTGAAAATATTTGGCATGGGTCCCCAGATCCTCAGAAAGTTCCACAGCTGCACCATCGAGAGCATCCTGACCGTTGCATCACTGCCTGGTACGGCAACTGCTCGGCATCCGACCGTAAGGCGCTACAGAGGGTAGTGCGTACGGCCCAGTACATCACTGGGTCAAGCTTCCTGCCATCCAGGTCCTATATACTAGGCGGTGTCACAGGAAGGCCCAAAAAATTGTCAAAGACTCCAGTCACCCAAGTCATAGACTGTTCTCTCTGCTACTGCATTGCAAGCGGTACCGTAGTGCCAAGTCTAGGTCCAAAAGGCTCCTTAACAGCTTCTATCCCAAAGCCTGCTACTCGCTGTTTATTATCGATGCATAGTCACTTTACGCCTACCTACATGTACAAATTACCTTGACTAACCTGTACCCCCGCACATTGACTCGGTACCGGTACCCCCTGTATATAGCCTCATTATTGTTATTTTATTGTGTTAATATATATATATATATATATATATATATATATATATATATATATATATATATATATATATTTTTTTTACTTTAGTTTATTTAGTAAATATTTTCTTAACTCTTTCTTAAAACTGCTTTGTTGGTTAAGGGCATTTCACGGTAAGGTCTACACCTGTTATATTCGGTGCATATGACAAATACAATTTGATTTGATTTGATTTAACCTACATGTACATAGTACTTAAATCAATCAACCTAACTACCTTGTACCCCAGTACACTGACTCAGTACCGGTACTCCTTGTATATAGCCTGTATATAGCCTCGTTATTGTTATTTTATTGTGTAACTTTTTCTTTTTATCTATTTTTAAATTTTCGTACTTTTTAACTGCATTGTTGGGAATGGGCTAGTAAGTAAGTATTTCACTGCAAAGTCTACACTTGTTGTATTCAGCTCATGTGACAAATACAATTTGATTTGATTTAATTTGACTATTAACATCATTGATTTGATTTACTTATTTCATCAAGTTAAGGGTTTTCTGTATACTGTAGTTGTCTAATGTTGGTGGGGCATGTTTAACCAGTTTTAATGATAATAGGGGGCATGTTAACCTGTTTGCTTACACCTATCAAGTTGTTTCATTTATACTGAACAAGAATATAAATGCAACATGTAAAGTGTTAGTCCCATTTTTCATGAGCTGAAATAAGAGATCCCAGAAATGTTCCATACCCACAAAAAGCTTATTTCTCTCAATTGTATTTACAAATGTGTTTAAATCCCTGTTAGTGAGCATTTCTACTTTGTCAATATAATCCATCCACCTGACAGGTGTGGCATATCAAGAAGCTGAATAAACAGCATGATCATTACACAGGTGCACCTTGTACTGGGGACAATAAAAGGCCACTCTAAAATGTGCAGTTTTGTCACACAGCACAATGCCACAGATATCTCAAGTTTTGAGGGAGCATGGAATGTTCATTTCTCGACCATAAGCCGCATCCAACGTCATTTTAGAGAATTTGGCAGTATGTCCAACCGGCCTCACAACCGCAGACCATGTGTAACCACGCCAGCCCAGGAATTGTTTTTCAGTGTACATGTTTAGGGAGTCAAATCAAATCAAATAAAGCTTTATTTATACAGCACATTTCAGACATGGAATTAAAATTAAAACTGAAATCTTACTACACAACAAACATAAAAGGATAAAAAACAAAAGAACAACAAAAACTGAACGACTAAAAAGGACCCAGAGGAAAAGCACATCTAAAAAGGTGTGTTTTAAGATCTCTT